TGTTTGGAGTGGTAACGTCAAACATACACAGCCGCCCTTTTGTCAATCAACTGCTGTGCGAGGGTTCACTAACGCTGGTTCACTAACGCGGGTCAATGACGGATCGGTGAAGGCAGGAGCATAGAAGTAAAATACAACGGATTTTTTTTACGATTTATTGTAGATTTTTGGGTCGGATTACTTAAGTAAAAGGTGTATCGTAAACCCTCCTCCACCAGACACAGCCAATTTATAAAGTTACCACGTGATAGCACGTGCCAATTTCTTACTACTTCAGCACACTGATATATCGCAGAGCAATCCACAACATTTAACAATTAGGTACGACGTGTCGCTGGTAGATACGACCAACATGATCAGGCAATTGCCAGTAATTTATCAAAATCAGTGATCTTTGGACTGACAGCAGATTTTTTTTTTTTGCACTGCTCTCTGTTGCCCACAACACAGCCTAAGTTTACGTGACATTGTTTATGGTGATCACCCTTCCCAGCACTGTCCAGAACCATATCACCTTAACTTCAGGGATAACTAATGATCTTGATTTATTCAGGAAGGCCTCGTTGAGTATTAATGCGAATTTCAAAAGGGTTGTGTATTGGCATGTTTGGTCAGTTCTCTCAGTGTTTAGCTTCTCCCGTGGATGTGTAGGGGTGTTACGTGGGGGGAAAACGGGCAGTTACACTGGGGTGTCTACATCCACGTCCGCAAACGGTTATCACCCTGGGGAGCTGTGTGTGGGGGGGGGGGGTGATCCCACACAGCCCCGCCCCTCGGTGGCAAGTTGGTATATAAGGCGGAGAGCCAGAGAGCTCGAGGCAGTCGTTGGGTACAGGTCAAGATGAAGAACCAGTGAAGACTGAAGGCCAGCCAGCTAGACCTGGAACTCCCCTGACACGCTGCCCTTGTGAGGGCCAAGCAGGGCAAGCCAGTGGTGCGACCTCAAAGCAGCGAGGTCCTTGTAAGGGCCGGACTCGTGTGGCTGAGGGTCGGAACCTGCGCCGAAGCTGGGCCGGGTTAGTTAGCCTCCTAGGAGGAAGGTCTGGAATAGCGGGGAAGTAGGCAGTTAATGTGGGCATGAACTGGGGAGCACTTCTGCTGATGAAAACTGGGTGAAGAGGCCGTTACCTCTTCAAGTGTTAGGGTCGTTACCCTGTTGTTACTGTATTTATTTGTAATAAATACGTGTTTCCTCCATCAACTTCTCTTGCGTCACATAAGCCATTACAGATGGAAACCGGAGTACACAGAGAAAACCCAGGCATGCAACAGAAACGCTCAAACGCTCTGGTGCTTTATTATGGGCTTTCGATTGTCTTTACGATTGAGATATCTAATTTTCTTCCATCAGCTGATTAGTCTTACACACATACTGTACTCCAGAATCTATTGCTGGATCGTCATTCTATGAACATTTCACAGCTCGAGCCGACAGCAGATGTGGATTTAACTGGTTTTACAGGATTAAGATTAAGATTCGAATTCCCTACGTGAATTGAAAACCCCTTTGTTGCTCTTTTAGAATTCAGATGCTGTGGCTTGCAGGTAAGATCAAAGTGGCTGCTAAAATCCTACCTGTTATCTGCCATGTCTACGGATAAAATAAAGTATTGGGCGAGCACAGACAAAATCGTCCCAGTAGTAGTCTGTATCTTATCTTTGATGGTTGAAACGTAAAGAGCACGTCAGGGAGTACAGCTTTGATATCGCTTGTGGAACTTCGTGAGTTAAATTCAAGCACTAAGATGATCATATCCGTCGATACCTGGGGATTAAACAATTACGGCAAGCACAAAATAGTTCTGCTTTGCAGATTTTTTTTTATTAAGCACATGTCTGATGCATCTGATATATGCCTCATGAAGTTTTTTTTATGGATGAGGATAATACTGGAATGATAATTATTTTCATTGTCATCACCACGATGATTATGACAATGATGTCAGCCATTGTCTCTGCCATTGTCTCTGCCATTAATGATGGATTATCATCAATAATGACCATATTGACAATGAATGATGGTGACGATGATCGAAATTATCATTAATGTTGCTGCCATCACAAATCACTGTAGTTGTTCTTGATGGTGACAATGATGATGAATAACGATTTTAGATAATTATAAAGATAACCATGATGATATATATCAATTATGTGGCCTCTGTCACCATTGCTGATATGATTGTGGGTGATGATAATTATTATTGTGGGTGATGACACGATGGTTGGTGCAACTACTGCCACCTTCATCGATTATTGCCATCGCTCCTGCTATCGCTAATGGCGGTTGATAATAAAGATAACGATTGTTGTTTCTACCACTATCACTTTAGCCAGATGCCGTGAGTAAGATTATGTCGGATGATACTGATGGATGATGTCACTGTCATTGTCTATTGTGGATAATAATAACAATTATGATGAGGCCATTGGTGATAATGAAAACAAATATGATGATATTGAAATACATAATTGAAGCTGTTATCAATGACGGAATACCGCTGCCACCATTACCAATATGTTTGTAATATGGTGACTACTGCATGGAATATGGGAATGTTTACAAATATAGTAAATGATATGGGTTCATTAGAGACGGAAACGTGTCTTGCCTTAAAGTATCAATCTTGAAAATAAAGCAAAACAAATGTGCATCCTTTTAGCTCTATGGTCTTCCATTAAATATTATTGGCATCCGATAGATACACTTTCTGAAATAAACGTATCCTGGATGATCGTATTAAATGTCCTCACGCGTATACCTATGACCACCAACATGTGCTTAATTTCTACTTATCTATCATACAACATCAAACTAACATTAGTGACGTTGGCTGGAGTTGAATAATGAGCTGACCTAAATAGTGATGTGATCATCATGAACATGCGTATTTACTCATTTCAGTCATTCCACTAATTTGTAAATGTTACCCCAGTCGATACAGTTGTCACCATATCAGCTTCATTCTAGAATAAATGTTTCTTGTGTTTACACCGTGAGAGGACAAAACACAATAACAGATCCCTGTTATTCCAATATACAGTTTGTGCAAGGGCACTTATTTTATTTGATCACATATCTGCTTATTACTGGAAATAATGTGGAACAAAAATGTCACATCGTAATGCTCATAAAATACCTACAAATTACTTAATTGTGATATACATAGCAACATTGCCCCGCGCTGCGAAAACGTCATGATCCCCTTGAAAAAGAGTCTTGAGAATCAGTGAGGCTTTCGTGGATAAACATGCACAATAAAAAAGGAAACAAATAATGAATTTGAATGCTGGTTCTTTTGTAAACATAAGATGCCTCTAAACTGGAATGTCTTCATGTCGTTAATAAAATGTGTAAATGACGAGAAATATCCATGATAACAGCAAATGTGTCTAGAAAAAATCATGATGTTGGTCTACCAATTTTGAATAGACAATCTGTACAGATATTCGATTGCTGAGGATACTCATTGACTGGGGAAGGATGTGACCTTGATGAACATCCCAATTACCATGCTTTGTTGTATCAAGATCGGGCCTATTGGGCCAGCATTGGCCAACATTGACCGATTGTCAGTGTGTATCTGGCATGTCTGGATACAGACTAATACCATTGTTGGCAGGTTTGAGAAACCTAAAAAGTATAAACCAATGGGGAAAGAAAAAAACCTCAATTCCAAGCAAAAGGTGTTTTCGACTGCCTGACTGGATAAACAGTCTTTGCTGCATATTAACACGTATGAAGGCAGACCTGATCTATGCGTGATGTTTTATACATGCATGTATTGTCATGTTTATCAATTATATATACATGCGTTATTAGACACGTCAGATTGTGGTTCATGCCATTTTAAGGCATGTTACGATCCACTAGTAAAATACCTATTTTCAAATTTGAAATTACGAAATGAATTATTACTGAAAAGCTAACACTTTATGTATATTTGCCTTAATTGAAATCCAGAACACATTTATACATAATAGAGGCAAAACGTCATTCCAGTCATGTTCCTCACAGCCCCATGCCTCTAACACCTGGCAAGCGCTGGGAGTCACATATCCAGATACCAATCGGCTCATCAACCCCGCTTTGTTTCAAAGCTCTGATGAGATTAGCCACATTCAGGGTGTTTGATTTAAGGCAATTATTTATCACCTATCTACAATGAAGAAGGGCTATTAGTTGGAACGTCACATACTACAGTATAGAGCAGTGTATATTGACGAATGTATTGAGTTTGTTATTATTTATGATTTGCGCTACAGTACTGACAACGCAGTACCACACAAAACGTTTCATTTGTCAACACTTCTCTCGGGGCGTGGGTGGTGTGTGAGTGTGTTTGTGACTTTCTCATGCTTGAGGTTAGGGAGTGGGTGGGTGGGTGTGGTCATTGACCTGAAGCTCCGTTGCACTCATGCGTAAGCCTCCTCGCTGGTAACCAAGGTGAGCCAAGCTCTGGGTATCCAACGTTCTCAGTCACGCACACGTAGTCTCAGTCGCTTCAATTCGCGAACGTACACCTTTCGTGAAAATTCACGTTGCGGGGCTGCCAACCCCGGTCTCTGCTGCTGCTGCTGCTTCTGATTGTGTGGCTGCTGCTGCTACTGCTGCGGGAAGAGCAGCACGCGGAGGAGGAGGAGGAGCGGGGTCCGCTGTGCGTTCACGAGTTTTCGTTGAGCGCAGCGCGCCCGCTATTGTCAGGGCAGTGCAGCGCAAGTGGTCGCGCGGATGCTTGAGAGTTGCAGAGACGCGCGCCGCACGCACGCACGCACGCACCGTCCCGTACCATCGCGCAATGTGCACACGAGCCGGCCTCCCGCCGACCACGCGAGCAGGGCAAGAGGACTCAACAACTCTGGTTCGTGCGACGTCGAGCGCCTTCCAATAGAGGGAATAGCATCTTTCAGCCTCGAGTTTGCCGCATCAATTTGTGCGGGTGGGTTAGGAGGAGGAAGGAGGAATACGAAGAATACGGAAGAATAAGAGCGGGCGGGGGGGGGGGGAAGGAAAAAATAGATCCGGAGTAAATAAGAGTGATAGAATTTATTTATTTATGACTTAAGCAGTGCCTGGCTTATAACATGCTCCGTTCGTCTAGAACAGTGGCTGCGTGGGATAAGAGCGGAATCGTTGGGCTGTTTCTGCTGCTGGCTACGCTGAAAGGTAAGAAGAGCACGGCCACGATGATGAGGATGATGATTTGGATGATGGTGATGCGAGCTTTCGGGTTGTTTTGGCGTCGCCTGCGCTGTTGGTCCGCTGATAGTGGAGCGGGCTCCTGGCGGGGCGGATATGTCGCGTTCGGTTGCGCTTATGCGATTTGGTTTGCGGTCCCCTCGTGTGTTGTTTTGTTCCCTTGTTGTCTCATTCGCAGAGATGTTATTCTCGGTTGTTTGTGTGTGCCGGTAGACAGTTTTGATTTTGGGGAAGAGTCACGTTTTGTAAGCGTCCCACGTTGAATGTTAAACGCTTACGATGGCAGTCCGCGCTCCGTTGACTAGAAACGGAGCGTGTTTCCTGTGAATATTAATTAGTTTTCGTTTGTGTTTTACATTTGTGTGCGCCTCGTGTGTTAAACGTGCAAGTGTGTCGGATTCATTACATGCGTGTGTATATGTATGCATATGCATTCCGCGTATGAGTGTTGTACATTCAATTCAAGCACACAGTGGATTGCGCTTAGCTGCACAGCTGATTCCGTGCGCTTTTGTAAATGTATACCAGGGAGCATCACAAGATTTAGAATTCATATCACGGGGGAATATATAACACAAGCAACTGTATGGAAAATCTGCAGACTATTTAATCATTACTTTGTTTCGCTGGTTAAATAAAATAAGTGCAACTCTCATTAATTATTGCAGAGATTCCCCCAAACATTTCATCGCTCAACTAAATTGATATAAAAAAACGCATTTAGAATTATAATGTCCCATCATAGAATGCACAATCGCCCTCAGAAGAAGAAAGGATATGGGATATGCAATGCACCATTATGCGCAAGTTTGCGACTGCGGTGTGATGGGTGGCAACATCTTCATTATTGAAGCGGTCACTTCAGCCTGCCGATGAATGGACTCCACCTCATTTGTCACGCTTCGGCACAATTTGCATGGTTGATATTAACAGCGACATATTAATTCGGACTTGTATATATTTTTTCTCGGAATCCTGGCCACCGGACTAATAATTATACTCTGCAGCCTATACGTAGTTCACACAATTTAACTTATTGTCAAGTAATCCAATGCTATTAATTATCGCCCCCTGCTTATTGATGTATTCAATACGTCTAGACGTTTAAAAAAATCTATATTATGATAGTACATTTCAAACTCAGGCGCGAGATTTAAATCGCTAATCGCAATCTCCAATTCCTATAAATGTTCTGCATTGACTATAGAGCACCGCCCTCGCCATCAGCGAGATGTAAAGAACCATCATCCATCAGTCATTACGGCAGTGATCGTTACGTCCCATTGTCATCGTCTTTATCCTAGTCATTGCCATGCGTTTTCACGCCACGGCACGGGGGAAAATATTCGTGTAAGTGAAAGCTGCTGCTCAATGTTCGACGCGTCACATGCCACCTAACTTGTGTGCCCGATGGATGTTGTCCAAGTGCTTTAGCTGTCACTGTTGATGTTATGCTAATGTGATGTCATATAATAATAGAGCCAGAACAGAACAGACACCCAATTAGGTGTGCTATTTTAAATTCAACCGAGCTGCGGTTAGTACTGTTTACTAGTGAGTCAACACTACAACTTGGTTCTCGATTAAAGAGATTGGTTACAACCAGACAAACAGGTTATTGTTATTGCCGATTCAGGACCGCCGGTGGAGATGGGCACCACCTGACACTCAACACATCATGGGCATGATTGGACTTCACATACGCATATAATCAATTCATCTCCCCCATTGAAACAGTCGGAATGTACATGAATTGGATTAAAATGTTAGGTCGCATGTTTTTCATTTCTGCCTTTTATCACATGCCTAACTGCAGCAGAGCTCAGCAGTGCTATTGATTATCGACATCTGTCAGCTGAATTTAAATGGACGCCAAATGAATATCATTGACTTAGATTTAAAAAGCAGCCACACTACCCAGGATTGAGTGGTTGGTCAGAGGTCTCCCTTATTTAGTTTGCCGAGTTAGTTTGTACGTGCCGTTGTGATGGTGTTCTGGAAAACGCCAAGACACTCTTCAAGGCTGTATATGACTTTAGTCATTTAGCCATTTTTCATTCTGTCGATGTAGCCCCTCGATAAAAAGAATGGCAAGGAATTCTGAATGACATGTGCAATATGACAAGTAACGTTGAACTGACGTTTAAACTGCATTTTTGTAGAGGACGTGGCTAGTATGTTTCCCTGCAGAGGCAGCTTTCCGGACTATCTGGCACTGCATTGCACATCAAGGCCGTAATTATAATATGTATTGGGGGGTCACCCCCCCCCCCCCAATATTCAAATATGCTCAAAATTTCCCCCCCCTAATATATTGCTATTAAAAAAATTGCTATGCTATGTAAATAAAAACAACAATTTGCTCAACCTTGGCCACAATATCTGGACTTGTCTTCATATAAATCATTGCGTAGATTTCTGTTTATATGATTGTGGTTATGGTTGTACTTTATTAATCCCTAATCTCTGCCATTACATACGATGAAACAAGAAATGGTAAAAAAGTTAAAACAGAGCAATGTAATACAATACACTATTATACATTATTGTAAAAAATAAATACAATGTCCATCCCATGTGTTATTGAATTTTTAAAATATTTTAGGCAGGAAATTAGTTTTAAAATTTAGATATTTTTCTGGGTTGGGACTCCCAGACACCCTGGAAGATTTGGTCCCCCCCAATGTTGACTCCATGGCTACGGCCTTGTTGCACATTAATAGTGTGAACGGGAAATGAGACGCAGCATTCGGTGTTGCCAGTTGTAGAAGTGCACAGTTAAGTTCGTGATTAAAATTTGCAATTGATGGTAATGTGTTCTTAGCAATGTGTCGATGCCGTGTATTCAATGTGCTTTGATGTTGCTTTATATGGAGCTATTTGAGTTGCATGCAAATTGTGCGCACTCAATGTTGCAAATTAAGCATATGAAAAATTATGCTTTGCATTTACACACGAAAATATGTTGTGTACACGTTAACTTATGTTCCCCCTTCCTCAGATTTGCATCAAATTGTAATACATTGATTGGACTGCTGATGGAATACATGGGCTTTAGTTGCACGTGGCCTGGGCATTGCTTTGCATTGTTTTGTTATCTGATGCATTCTTCTGTCTTTTTTTTATTAACAAGGTGAAATGACCATAGGGACTGTGACGTCAAGCATGGACAATTCCTTAAGAACGCCGCTTTGGTTGCCACTTCAGTACAATGTGTTAAACACGGAGACATTCTTTTTCTTAAAGAACTTGAAGAAAGATGTTGTAAAATATAACTCTAGCATGCAGACACAATCGCAGCACCTTCTGATATTTGGTAACACCAATGCAGAACCAATTGTAAATGTCAGCTATGGCCCTTTTAGTACTTGGAAGACACTGCACGAAGACCAGTTGGGACCCAAAACTGTGTTTCCATCGACATCAGCCACCAAGAGAGTTAACTGGCACGTTCAGGCTTTGGTCGCAGAGGAGTACATTTATTCCAATAATGCAAAGGTTCAAGTCCTGTTTTACATATCAAGGAAGGAGTGGGATAATCAAGCAGAGACAGATGCATTACCCTGCGTGAGACTTTATGCTTTTCACGAAACCCAAGAGGTCAGAACTTCATGTCAGCTCAAGGGGGATCTTGGAATGTGCCTGGCTGAAGTAGTGCTGCCTTCAATTTGGTTTGAGCCACTGTTGTACACTGACAACTTGAAGCAAGAAGATCGTTTAAGTAACAGCACCACCGTGGAATTGTATTACAATTTACAGCCTGTTGGGGGCGGAGATTGCAGTCCTAACGTGCATCAGAAGATGACCATCATCAGGCCCTTCAAGACCGTCACAAAGAAAAATCTGAGCCCAGTTGGAACAGTTTACCTTCAGCATGCACCTGAAGCGCCAAAACTCCACGAAATTAATCTCGATGAAAACGTGGTAATATACCTTCCTACGAAGCCTCTGAGGCCTGAAGAAGTCATTGACGTGCCTGTCAAGCTCATGGAGAATTCAGCGGTGCAGCATTTTACACTGAGGTTAGTAACTACATTTATTCTCTTGTTTAGCGAAATAATTGACGGAGAATTTCTTTGGTATTATTAAGATGGTTGAAAAAAGACGCCAAACACATCTGGTTTTGTCGTTTGCATCTTCTTCTTAATTTGTGATCGGATTAATTAATAAAGTCAGTCAATGTAAATTGTAATATATGTTTTGTAATGCATTATATAATGCACTAAATACCAATGCACTAAATGCTAACGAGTGCACTAAATTATCAGGATAAAGTGTTTGCTAAACATCAATAAGAGTACAATTGAGAGGTATACTGAATAGTCCCCGTATGCACATATTTCAATGTACAGCTACAATCTAATGACAACTTAAAAAGTAGGAGTTTAATAAAAAAAAATGTAAGCCGCTTTGTTCACATTGAAATTGTATTCTTCATTTACTTTTGAAGCATCATTTATGCATCTTGTTCATAGTTCTACACAGTCACATGCTCACTATTGTTATTCACAATATAGTGTCAAAATGAATAAACAACACGTATAATTATGGTGTGGTTAGGATTTGGGTTGAGAATTTGTGCCAGAAATTTTATATTTATATAAGCCGTCATAATGCATAAAATAAAATATATAAAAGTGTCTTGTCAAACTTTTATCTTTTGCAATTCTGACATTTAGATGTATAGTCTCAAAACGTGCAAAACCGGTACAGTGCCAAATTACTATGTGCTGAACGGATGATGAAAATGTGATGCTGCTCCAGATAAGACTGAATGTGATGAGTGTTGTGAAAATTCAACTCCATTGATGTGTTTTTCAGTTATCAGGTAATACATATTGTATGCACAACATGTATGTTGGACTTATTTCGCACCGTGCGTAACCAACCAATGTAATCGGAGTTGCGGGATTATTAACCTGTTACAAGTGATGAAAATTCTTTTTTTTAACCAATTCAGATGACTTTTGAGTACTCGACTTTGTATTGGATTTCGAGGGCACTTTAGTGCACTATAGTTTGTGACATCTCAAATTTCACAGTGCTGGCGTTTGGCCAAAGACGACAGGTCATGGGAAAACAAAGTAATGCCAAGGAACCTAATTAGGTTGTCACGATAAAATCCGCGAGGTGTAAAGCAGTTTACCAGGTCACTTTCGGAGTTACCTTGACATTTTTCAAGTATAAATAACTTTGCTTTAATCTATGAATTTAGCTTTTTTGTATCTTAGAGAATTTATATACTTATAACAAAAATAAAAGTGTATTATTTAAATGTTAACCACGTGCAGTACTGCATTTTTACTAATATAGTGTGTAATTGGAGATGCTAAATATGACCAATGGCATTGAGGAAACTACGTTTGAATACGATTTTTGTGTTTTAACTCAACATTGTTGAGTTCGATGGCACCAAATATGCAGCCCAGAAAATGGACGGTGATATTGGTGGATCATGCAGCTCTGGACGACCCATTTTGTGAGACACCCGCCTAAAAGACGATGATGCGCTCATCAGCATCAAGGTTCCTGACCTAGGTGTGCAGTGTTTGAGAGTTACTCCTTCTGGCACGAGTCAGTTTAAAAACGTTGTCTAAAAGTTTGACAGTATATATCAAAGGTGGAGTCTTTTCTGAAACCCAATCTTGTTCATTTTGTAAATTTCTTTGGGAATCGAAATTATTGCAAAAGGAGTGTTCATGTTGTACCTTCTGTAGCTTTTGTTGTCTGCTGCTACCAGTCAGTTGTGAGTAAAACAAATCTTTATATTTTTTGTATTGCTAACGTTTCTGAAATCTAATTCTCCAACACTATCAATCATACTTAAAACATGGGTCTGGGTATGTGTTTCCCTTGCCCTCAATGTTTCAGTACTTTAGCTCACATTTAATATTGGCACAATGCCTTTTGATGGATTATATATCTGTATTTATGTCAAATGTGCATATGCTAATGAGTGCCGTATTCATCACTGTAAAACATAAAGTATATTAACATTGATATGCGGAATGCAAATAACATTTAGATAGAAAATACACCATTTATACCATTATATTATCAATGATATTTACATAATGCTAAAATACATTCAACACATTCATAAAATTAATGTTGCCTCTATATGCCACAGAAAACAAATCCCATGCATTTTTAAACATCAGCTTTCCAGAGCCTGGTTTCATCTATTGCTGGATGTAAAGCAAGTTTGTATGTTGTCTGTAACTGGGGGGCTAGCACATTACATGATTTTAGGATATAATGTTGATTGTTTGTCGTGGCTGCTGTCCTTTGGGATTTAAATATCTTATATAAATATATTGATGCCCTTGCACAGTGAATGGGGGTACTGCAGTGTAGTACCATCTTTGCACCGTTTTTGTTTATATTACAAATACCATAAACCATGGTCACATCTGTGATATATGATGACATTTTTAGCCACAGAGCAAGGACTTTAACCTGAGTGTTCTTGCTAAGATCCTAAGTCAATAGACTATCTGCCAAGTAATTTGCCCTGTTTATATGATTAATTCTCAAAACGCAAGTCACGTGATCTATTTCCCTGGTGGGAAGGACACACTTGACAAAATGATAATTAATCAATGTGAATACAGTCCTATGAAATAGTTAATTTCTAAATGCACGAGAGACTTCCTACCACTTACTTTGGAGATAATATACTGATTCTGTTTAGTTATACAAGCTTAGAAGCTACCTGTATTAGTGACCTATTCACCTTGTCTGCCTCGTCTTCGTAAGCTGCGGAAAGGTTGGGAGCAGAAATACAGGGTGTATGAATATGACTGACCTATGGTCTTGATTAACTAGCTTCACTACAAAGCTGTTTAGACTTATAGAAAATGGCCTGCCCTTTAAAGCAATATTGATATTGCTTTTGCTGTATAACCTGGATGGAAAAAAATGGACTGACTGGTAATAGCTCGGGTGACTGCTATAAACGATGAAAATAATTTACTAATTCTTGAAAAAACTGTTTCACAAATGTCTGCATATTTTGTGGGTAACAATGTATACTTTAATTTTAAAAAAGTAGTTATATAAAACATATATAACGATCTTTATAGGTTGGTAAATGAAATTACAACAAAACAAATTTAGAATAAAAATTAATTGCCCTTTTTATTAGAGCCAAATAATAATGTTAGCAGTATGTATTATCATTAATAATTTTTTGGGTTGGATAACGTAAGTATAAATGTGTCATTAAACCCGCCACCACCCGACACAGATAATTAGTAATGTTTGTCACGTAATAAAAACATGCCAATTCGTTACTAGTACAACACACCAGTGTGTAAACCCACAAACATTTACAAGTCGAGTACGACGTTTCGCCAGTAATAACAACTTGCATCATCAGGCAATAGCAAGATTTGTGAAGAAATCCTCCTGTTCTGGTCTGAAATAGAGGGATGCATTTGATGTCGTCACTTTTGAGCCAATCAGATGGGAAAGCCAGAGGGAAAGGGAGGGGGGTTAATGTAACCCAAAAACCTCTTATACCGACTATAATCACCCAGGAATGTATGTCCTTAACGCTCGTGACGTCACTGTACATCAACCAGCCCCCCTCATTAATATTCATGAGTGGGTGACGTCACTCAATATGGAGTACTCCCTCCCCCCTCACTAATAATCATGTGCAAGTGACGTCACTCCACGTCGACCAGCCCCCCTCATTAATAATCATGAGCAGGTGACGTCACTCCACATTAAACAGCCCCCCTCATTTAAATTTCATAAGGTGACATCCTCCCAATTGACACCCCCCCCCCCCATTCATAATAATTAGCGGGTGACGTCACTCAACATGGGGGGCCGAGGCGCCTCTCCCCCCTCATCAGCATCAACTTACAACCCTCACTACAAAGGCAGAACCCTCACGTCACGCGATCTCCGTCACGCTGTTGAGACATAAAAGTACGTCATGATGAACAAGAAATTATAACCTTAAAATGAACTAGGTCTGTGTCACTACGCCCTTACAAACTGCACACGCAATAATGCAATGAATATCACGTCGCGGTCTGCTTTTCGCTTGCAAGTTTCAGATTTATTGCAATACACCCGTCCTTGGACGGGCAAAAGGCTAGTAGATAGTATTGGTCGTGAAAGCCTATGTTACACAGTGTTTACTATATTTAGTTCATAATGTTACGATTTTCTGCACCGAGACAAGTTTACGTGAAAGTCATTTAATTTCAGAGCCTACTTATGAAGCTACTTGTCTGCCGTGAATATAAATGCAATAACCTCATGTATACCTAATTATATTTATGGTAAGTCACACTAAGCAGTGTGTGACGTGGTGCTCCTGGTTGCTTCCCACGCATATCTGCATTAATAACTCACCTTGAGAGGCCTTTGAAGTTATTCAGCTGTTCATTATTTCTTTTGACTCATATTTGTTTCCCCTTTAGGTTAATTGCTTTATATTATACATTTATATGAAATGTTTTAACATATCCTGTGTATATGAGATATATAGTGCATTGCAATGTATGTGAGACCTGCGCATGTGTTTCTGTCACCTAACACGCCACCTATATTGTATTTTTATTTTGACCAAATGTAGTTTTTGTTATTTCTGCTTTGTTCCACTCCAAATGCAATTTCACTAAAGGTAGATTTTGACACAGAATACACTCACTTCATCCCACCAAAAAATGTGGACTAATACACATTAACCTACACTAAGGTATTTTTTCGTTATTTCGGTAAAGTCACGTAAATAAAAAAAAATTAAGTGAAAATAATAAAAGCAAAAACTCACAACGTTTCGATCGCAACACAAGCGGTCTTGATCAGACGGAGAGGAAAGAGGAGGCAAGCCTCCAAATGCAACTGCTTATAAGTGTTTCCAAAGTGAATGGGCGGGGGACGAGAGCTGGGACGAGGAGGAGGAGGAGAGCTGCGCGGCATAATGTAGGAGTAGACAATGGGGGAGTTGGGAGAAGGTTGAGATAGGGGGAGAGAGAGGGGGGAGGTTAGAGATAGGGGG